ATCCGGGGGACCACCTGCGTTAGGGTCCGCCATGGAGGGAACGGGCGCCGGGATGAGCGGGGCCCCCCTGCTGCGGCGTCGCGCTCAGGAGGGACCGTCCGCTGCGGGCTGCCGCTGCCGCAGTCGCGCGCGATCGCCACCAAGCAGGGGCCAAGCCTGCGGTCGGGCGCGCATGGGAGTTTGTTTAGTATCAAGGAACCCGTAGACTAGCAGGGCACCTGATGCGCATTGCAAAGCACACCACCCGCCCGCCACAAGCGATCACACTCACCTGTCGCCGCGAGCGGGACTCTGATGGACAAGATACAAGCTCTTTAGGATCCCCGCTAAGCAGCGACCCTGACCTGGTCAGAAAGACAGCTGCGCTGTTGATCCAGACCGATCTGGTCGTGTCGCTGCTGGACGTGTTGTTGACGTTAATAGGAAGCCTTGGTCACTGAGATATAGACGAATTTCCGTCGTAGCATGCATGCATTGACGAGGGTTCGATTACCGCGGGGCGCCCAGAGTGGTCACCACCGTAGACACCGCACACGGCAGATGTGGCAAGCAGCAGTGTGCTCAAAGCGAGTGGGGTATCCCGCCCATACCCGTTCCACCGGTACCCCTTGATATACTGAATCACCTGCGCGGTAGGCGGCAGGCCGTCCGGGGCACTGAGATATGTGTATGGTACCTTGCCGTAGCCTTGTGCATGAAATGTTCTGGGTAAGTTGAGTGTGTCTGGCAGTTGCCTACCTGTCTGCGGACGCTTGCTGCTGGTCTGGAAAATGTCTTGTACATATAGCTGCAGAGGCATGCTGAGGAGTGCTTGGCTGCAAACTATGGCTGCTTGAGGCTGCTGGCGGGAATGGGCGCAAGTCAACAGCAGCCCTGAATAACAGCGAGCGCCAACGCTTCAAGAATGCAAAGCGTTCGCGTGCCCACAGCCATATCCGCATGCAGGCTTGGGCCTTGAGTCGCAGCTGTACCCTAGTTGGGCCTGGAAAGCGGAGACCTCAGCCAACCCGAACTGGCGCGGGCAGCGGGGGTGGGGGCGAGCGAGGGGGGTCATCGCGCTCAAAGCAGGGGGCCCCATGCCTGCACCAGGGGGCTCAAACTCGCAGGAGCGGCGGAGCATAGCGCCACGGAACGAGATGATGGATAACGCAAAGCCGGACGCCGACAACTGTTTTGTGCCTCAAGAACCTGTGGAGGCATTCATCCCGCAATGACACGCCGGCGGCCTTTCCTCAACGAGCAAGATATGGAACCCGTTTTAAAAAAAGCATGGCTCTGGGCCCCGTCGCTCAGGCGCAGAACAAGCGCCGGCAGTGCAAGGCTGGGTCAACGGGTCAACGCGCTGTTGGAAGCGCGCCGCGATCCCGGTGTCGGCAATCGCATGGTGCATGTGTATGTGCTTACATCATCGACCATCCATGATTCCGTGATTCCTGGCCGCGGCGGCAGCCCGGGACATCGTCAGTGCAAAGCCCGAATGGTTACTGAAAGTAGGCAACGCTGGGGCGAAAGCGGCAAAGCACACTGCAGCGTTGTTGGTCATCAGTGGAGCTCTTGTTGGGTGCAGCGGCCCTGCCCCAAGAGGTCAAAACACAATGTCAGATTGGTTTGATGGATAAATTCACCTAGAATACGCTCGTTCCTGAATACCGAGACCGTTCAGAGCAATTAGAGCAACCCGGCATCAGCATCATGGGTGCGACCCGCGCGCCTCTTAAGCGTGCGTACGCTAATGCTACATTGTTGGCATGTTGACATGATACTGATACGCGTATCTGCGTGCACGCAGGTGGCGGCGATGCTGTTGGGGTGCCCTCCGAGCGCTGCATCCCAGCGCCGAGCACAACGGGCGCGGTGGGGCCACTGCCCCCAACAGACGGAACCCCAACAAGCCACCGCGGCTGCGGCGCTTGCGAGCCCGACGGGGCGGCTGCGCGCTTGGTCGACTTACCCCTAGACCTGCAAGCCGTCATTATCAGCTGCGCCGCCGCCGATGACCCCCGCGCGCGTGCCGCGCTCCGCGCCATGTGCCGCCGCCTCCGCGCCGCCGTCGCGGCGCAGAGCCGCGCGCTGCGGCTCGGGCGCGACGGGGCCGCGATGCGGCACGCGGCGGCGCGGGCCGCGGCGTGGGGAGGCGCAGAGGAGCTGGTGTTGGAGGGGAAGCCGCGGCCGGGCGACGTGTTTGACCTGGTCAACGCCGCGGCGACGTGAGACAGCGGGGCCTCTGGGACTGATTGTTCACTTAAGCCCACCATACACATGGGGACATGATATATTGTGTACTTGAGGGACTTCAGGGACTTGAGGATTTGAACTTGCCTTGCCAGTAGAAGGTAGGCACTCCGAGACGGCTCTACAAGCATGCAGTAGAAGCAGGCGGCAGCCAATCGCGCGCGCCACCCCGGCCGAGCAGCCCCCGCCCGCCCGTCGCCCTTTACCGCCCCGGCGCAGGCACTGGCCTTCGCTCGCCCGCATCAGCGCCGCCGTGCCGCCGCCCGCCACGGCCGCGCTGCTCTCCGCGCTCGCGGCGGCGGCGGCGCGGCCGTCGCCGCCGCGGCGCCTCTCCCGCCTGGCCACACTCTCGGTGACATGCGAATTCAGCCCAGGCGACGCCCCCTTGCGGCTGGACTCCCTGCAGCAGCTGCCCTCCCTGACCTCCCTCTCCCTGGCCGCTCCCCTCGCCGCCGGCGGCGCCGCCAGCTGGCTGCCGCGCAGCCTCGAGTGGCTGTCCATCTCCGGAGCAGCGGCCGCCGACGGCGCCGTCGCCGGCGCCGGCGGCGCCGGGCCGGCGCGGGCTGTGGGGGGCGCTTGGCTGGGGGCGGCGGCGGCGTGCTCACGGCTGCAGAGCCTGGAGCTTTGGCAGCTCGGGGCGGCGGACCTGGGTGGCTGCGGTGCGGAGGGGCTGCTCAATGCGCTGGGACGGGTGAGCGAGCGGCTTCTTGGCGGCGGCGTTCTCCAAGCGCTTGGAACCTCCGATCGGGGCTGCAACGGGGCTGACTGCGCTGATGAGCGCACCCGCTGGTCGAGTCTCTACCCCCACCCTTCTCTTGGGGGCGCGCCGGCTCGGCCGCGGCGCAGAAAAACGAGGCCCCTCTTCACCCCTCGCCGCCTCACCTCACCGAACGGCCCCTGCATGCGCCCCTTGCCCTACCCGGCCTTTATCACTTGCCTGCGCCCTTACCCTTGCCACTTGCGGCCCAACCCCTTTCTGTATGTATTTTTCACCCGTCGCCCCCTCACCTGGAAACGCCCGACCGGCCACGCCACAACGCGTCCTCGCCAACCTCCACCCGCCCCACCATCTCCTTCCGCGACCACCCTCGACTGCGACCGCCCGGTCCGTCTCACCCCTGCCCTCCCTGCGGCAGCCACCAGGCCCTCGCCCCTGCCACAACCCGACCACAAGCCCCTCATACCTCCCCCCTCACCAACTTGGCCCTTACGCG